AAGACAGACAAGGGCAGATAGTATTGACTTAAGGACAGTTCTAAATGACAAGAGGAGGCACGTCTACCTTTGTAGGTGGCTGTGGCCTTGTGTAAACTAGATCAGAGCTGATAAACACATGCCACCATCAGATCTCTATTGACCTGAAAAATTTTAAATTATGTGAATTAAAACAGGTTAGTACTATTTTGTGCAGTAGGAAATATAAATATCGGTAATTGAAATGACTGGAAAAATTACATCGATCACATGTTAAATTTTCCCTGAACTTACAAAAACATTGTCAGATTTTTGAACGTATCAGAAAATTATTTCATTCACCTGAAATCATCCTTTGCCATAAGACAATATTCAAGCTACTTTCCTGATTTCTGTGAAGTTACTAAAAGTGCTGTTAGGAATAACCATGACACTGCATGAATCCCTTCTCACATCCCTTTCTTCCCTCCTTCTATCAAGATGATGATTAGGGGAAAGAATGTTAAAAGCCAGAGATGGTCCTGAACATATAACTATTTCATGAACTACTTAAAGACTTTAAACACCACCTAATGAGTTTAAAAGTAGGTTATTTGAAGGAAGTTGTTTGCACTGGGTGAAATGCAGAATAGTCCTTACAAAGAATGGCTTCTAGAACTGATACACAAAATTGCCAAACCACCTGGCATAGCAATATAGGGGTCATGCTCTAACATCACCTTTTGGAGAACATCAGAGGATAGTTACCTGCTCACGTGACTATGTGTACCGAGTACTGCAGCTAAACTTACTGTCCTGTGGCGTTATTTTCACCACTGTGGGCATCAAAGAGGATTACTCCTGCCAGAGCAGAGGAATGGATGATCACATTTAGGTTTGGAGGAATATCTTACTCTATACTCCCATATAATATTAAGAATTGGCTGGCCCTAAATGTACTGAAATCCTGATCATACCTAATTTAAACTAACATGCAATTTGAGTTAAATTTATTTTCTGCCCTTTCAAGGGAGACAGATTTTTTGTTTCTGTTTATTTAAACTGCTGTTGAAATTGGTTAATTAAAAGGATTTAAAAAATCTTAATACTCTAAACAGAGCAAACTGGTTCTGAATTATTAAGCAACATTTTAGATGCATTTAAATAACCTTAAGTGACTTAACTGCCACCTGATCCTAAGCTGTGGCTCAGGAAAATAAAATGTGAAATACTGTAGAAGTCTTGGCTTACCAGGGCTTCCAGATACAGTAAATAAAGAGCTTAACTCTCTAATACCATGTCTGCAAAAGGCATACTCTCAAATACATAACTAATGCTCCACCTTAAGGAGAAATGAGCAGAAGAAATTGTAGGTTGCAATTTTGATTTTTCAGAAGAAATTAATAAATTCAGTCTTTCAAAAGAGAAAGCATGCCAGGACCTCCCTTTCTGAGAGATACCATAAAGCATTCACTGACGTATCATTAATCCTAGTAGGGTGGCTGAAGCCCAGTTTGGGTTAATGTGTTCTGCATGTTCCTCCTATAGTTTCAGCTAGAGCTGGTACACTTCAGCTTCTTGCCTGAAGCGTGGTGAAATGTCCACTCCATAAAATGTTAAAGAGTTTTAGGAAGACTTCTGCAGATCTCCACCACAGAAGGAAGTGAGGAACTGATCTTCCAGGAAGTCTCCAGGGTACTGGGAAAAGGTGGATCTTGCAGCTGGCAGATCCAGAGGACTCTCGAAATTGGCGTATGGGAAGGCTTTTAAGAGAAAGGGACTTAGCAGAAATGCTTAAAAGAGGGTTGACTGAGCACGCTAATATGCTTAGGGTAAGCTCTTTTTGTTATAGTTAATTGCGTTTTGAAGATTAGAGCGATTCTTGGAAAAAAGGGAACTATAATTCTAAAATCAGCATATACATTTAAATAGCGCACACATTTGCTTCCATAAAGCCTTTGCAGACGCATTTAGGAATAACGCAAAGAACTTATAATACAGCTTTTCACTCCAAAAGATGCGCTTGCCAAATGTTTTCAAAGTTGGAGGTAGGAGTTACCTGCTGACCCAGGTTCACCCGTGTGATACGCACTTGTCGGTACAGTATGCAGTGCTGCCTTGGTTAAGGTTCCGAGATAGGAGGTGGTTAATATCTAATTTCAGTGCTAGTAGAAAGAACAACACAGTTGGTGACAAAGACCCAATAACAAGTGACTGCATGTGCTTAACTGCTTTGGAATGTCACTGCTGCTTTAAAATCTACAAGTAGTGTCTGGAAAAGGTTAATCTGTGTATTTACTCATGTGTAGAAGTTTGTATTTACAGTAGGGTTATGATACCAACTTTAAGTTAGCTAAGGATATCTGTGTAAGCAACTGGAACATAGAACTAAGAACTAATGAATTTTTATTTACCAAAGAAGTAAAAATACCTCAACAACACTGTATCAGGACTGATAGCTTTGAAAAGTGGGTAAAAATGCTCTAACAAGTTTACCACAAGAAAATGCTGATTTGATTGAAGATAACCCCCTTGTTTCGATAAAACAGAAACATTTTGGGGAGTGCATATGTTATTGTAATACAGATTAGGATAGAAGAAAAAATATTAACTTGAGAGGACATGTTTTCATCTTATTGCAGCAAAAACTCCAGCAAAGTAATTGATACTTTCAAACATATTTTTTCAAAAATGTTATGTATAGTTTAAATACAAACATGCATTTTAACTGCTATTGTTTTCTGGAGCACAAGCATTCCAAGTGCTCTGTTCTTATTGCACAGATTTCAATGGAAGTTTGTGATACGTATCATATAGCAGAAGGGTCTTGGCAACTTACAGTGTATCTTTAAGAGACTACATACCATGAAGCCTAAGGCAATGAATAATACTTTTACTGTACTTCGAAGGCATTCATCAATGACTTTTTTTTTGTTTGGTTGGTTTTTTTTAAAATCTGTCTATGGAGTGCACACTTCCAACTTTCCAAACCTGGAGAACTTGCAGATGTCATTTATAGTTCTCAGTGGTTAGCAAACCCCTGGGGATTATATTTTGTCTGTTGTAGCTCTGATGGTCACAATGGCAACCGGATTCATACACGGCCACTGAGTCAATCGGCATGAATCATTTATGTGACTTCTCATACATGGCATTATTAGGTTGGAATCATAGAAAAAAGATGACAGGGTCTTTGCTTCCCACATGACAGACTAACAGCTCCATATCCTGCCATTAAATTCTCCTTTCTTGGCCTCAGTGTTTTCTCCCTGACAGTTTCACAAATGTGTTGAAAATACCAGCCTGTTCTAATTTAGTGGTCTTTTTTCTTTTCTACTCCTTTTAAAATTTTTTCTTATGTGAGTCATCTGATCAATTTTTGAGTTTGTTACAGAGGACTAAAATTAATAATGATGATAATGTGGTTATGTACAGAAACAGCCAGTCTAAAGTACAAAACAAATGTAAAAAGTTAGAGTAATATACTTGTAGGTTTTTTTACATTAAATATGTACTGAGACATAAATATGCTACAGACAGGGAGGTATGACTTGCAAAATATTTAAAATACACAAAACCATTGTTTAGACTGTAAAAGATTGGTTTTCTTCTGTCAAGTAAACTGAACAATCAGTAATTCTGGAAACATAGGTGACTCTTCTAGCCTTTGGTTCCACTGGAAATGATATTACATGCTTAAGGAGTAAAGTTAATTAGTGATTAATGAGATTCCTTAAATACTGCTTTTCAGTCTGACTGATTAGGATTCTCAATATAAGACAAGGTAGAAGAGAAGCTGTAAGCACCACCACAATCCTGTTCACAGAGTTATGCCCAAAATAGTCAGAAATCGCATCCACTCTCAAGGTTGTATGCTTGCGAAGGACATTATTTTCTTCCCCTTTGGAGTATTTATGCCACTTTAAATAACTTACAAGTAAGATGACAAAGCACGAGGTACCTGTTACAAAACAGTACTGCAAACATACCAATCAGAGCCTTATTCCTAGTGAACTTCCTCCAGGGGCAGTGATGAGAAACAAAATGGAAAAGCAACCCAAGTTACTGAGCTCCTTTGATGAAAAATGGCTTAACCAGTCACCTGAAGGTGCCCCCAGCAAACAAAACCCCAACTGATCCAGAGCTGCCCCCACTCGTTTGCAGTACTGAGGCAGCACGGCCAAAAAGCTGCTGAACTTCACCCACTATTGCTTGGCTCTGTACTGTCATCTCTGTAGTGCCTGTTCCCTTCGCCTTTTATGCCGGGCCCCAGGTAATTGCTGCACAGTTGGACCCACTGACATTTATTTACCTTTCCTGTAACAATGGCTAAATAAGAAATGAAAGTTAATTTGTAATAGAGCAGAAAACATATAGGTATATTTTCAAAGAAACTTAGTAACCAGCACATAAATATCTGTTGATAAATCAACAGAATTTAATTTGCTTTTGTAAGCAGTAAGCAGTATTGATTTTGAAAATCGGTCACAGCAGGTACATCATTAGAATTTCAAGGTAGGAGATATAAATGATTAGTTACTGGTATTATGTAACAGGTGGATGAATAATTTATTAGAATGTACTGATTAGCTTATAACTGTATACTATCTGACACTGAGCCTTCCTTGCTCATAACATAAAAATGCATCAAAATGGAAAAACCAGAAAAATCAGAAGTACCAGCCCGTAACAGACCTAAACAGTGTACTAATAGCGATGCGGCTTCCTTCAAAACAGGACGTGAGCAATGCTGGCTCAGCATATTAATGCAGTTTTCATTGAATATGGTCCACAACTTGTTTTTTTTCAGAAGCGGAGGATTTTTTACAATGTCACTGGAAACAGATTTCACAACGCAGTTTTGTATGTGACATACGATAGCATTGGTAGGTTAGCACCTGTCTTGCTTACAACCACAGAGCTTGGCAGCACTCTAACACATTCAGGCATATCTTTTACCTTCTATGTTATAACATACTGGTCATCTAACATACAGGAGTGAGAAGTGGTGGTATTTATCCTGGAAAGGTACATTTACTCACATCTCTCCGCGGAAAGGTGCCCAGCAGCTTGTACTCCTCCCAAGGATATCCCTTGGAAGCTACAAAATCAAAGACAACCTGCAGCTTGCTGCTGGCCAGGAAACGTCGCTCAAAAAATTCTCCGCTGGGCGTCCGAATACGCAGTTTACTGACGGACTCGGTGCTCTCCTCTTTTGGTTCAGGAGGCAAAGATTGCTCAAGAGAGAGCCTGATAGCCTGAGGAAGGAAAAATAACCATTTAGGTTGCAATGCTAGCAACAGAAGAGAAGGACAGAAAGCTTTTCTTTTTATTTCTTCTAGAACTTCAAGATGTGCCACAGTGCTCCAGAGCCATAGGTGTGCTTTATATCTCAATGACAAAATCATTTTTATTCATTCCTTAATAACAGCCCACCAGACAACTAATTAAAATAAATCCTTCTTTATAACACATATTATTAGGTCTACAGTTAATGCACGATGGGGATAAGCAATTTAATCATTTGGCAGAAAGCCTTGGAAAAAATTTGAATGAGAGACTAATTGTCAAGTGACCAATTGCTTCCTTAAAGGGTATAAATTAAAAGGCAGTAAAAGTATTTATTTAAATGCACTTATCAAATTGCCTTCCTCTTGCACAGTGTAATTGACCATTTGCAGCAAAGACAAGACCCTTAGTGGCAGTTCAGAGTAAAAAGAAATATACACAGGAGATTTACTATAAATAAACTAAAACACTGTTAAAAGACATAATTAAAAATACCATGAAGGTACATTAGATACATAGAGTACATATAAAAGTAGGAATGGTCAAAGAAGAAAACTGTGAGAACAGAAAAGGGAGCTTTAAGATTTAAAGCGAGCAATTATTATTATTTCCAGGAAGATGATTCCAAGCACAGGTGTGCACATTTTCTGCAACAACTTGCATGAAATCAGCCCCCAAATTGCAATGACATTACACGTCTGAAAATGTGTATGACTGTCTTCCTGCTAACATCGTGTATACTGCTGATGTCAAGATTTTAAGGGCCCGAGCCAAGTCTGTGTTCTCTGTCCTCTGCCTCTGGGAGCTACTATAACATTCATACTTTGATCAGAAGTATTTTTTAAAAAATTGATGCCTTATATTAGATTGCTGAACCAGGTGGGCTTGATTTTTGAGGGTGCTGAGCGCTGTGGGTACTCATGGACCAGCGTTGGCATCTGTTAAAAATTAGAACATACTTAGAAAGCAGCCGTGTTATAGTATCACCTCACTTCAGGCAGCAGTTAATGAGAATGTCAATGAATAGAAGAAGTAGCATGACCACACTGCCTCCCCCAAAATACGTCTATAAGACAATTTTCCAAACTGAGGAGGCAGTCAGGCACTGGATTTACCCAGATTTTCAAGTAACTTTCAAGATACACAGTTGCTATTTGTGCCTTTGAAACCCTCCCCAAGGTCAACAGAAACTGATGGAGGATGATTACATTAAAGAGAAAGAACTGGGCAGAAGCAAGATTATGAAGGCTTTTAAATAGTCTACTTCTTACACACGAGCCTCTGAGTAAATTATATCTCAGTATAAATATTTATACATAGAACTTGAGTTCATTTTTGCTCATCTACTATGAGATTATATTTTAAATAGATTCTATTTTAATTTTCTCTCTCTCCATTCTCAACCACCTGCTTACTATCTTTCTGTTTTGACATTTCCCCACACAGTATAACAACAGATGCTACATTATTTACTGAACCCAATCAATTATATTATAGAAAAATAAACAACAGTAGCTCATTAGAGCTCTTTTCTTTGTGCAAAGAGTGCGTCGCTCCCCAAAGTAACTAGGCTCCAAGGCTTCAACATAAAATGGCAATTTACAATGGATATTCTGTACCAGCAAACCAAGTCAGAAAACAATGATGTGATGGATCACACTAATAACTCTTGGACCTGAACAAGCAATTTCAGTTTGTTGATAAAAAGATGTTCAGTATGTGAATAGCTCAATAGTCAGATTTTAAATATACGAACTGAACATAAAGCCACTTCTGTAAGTAAACACTGTTGCAGAACAATTCAGTATAAGTAATCTGTATACTTGAAAATGGGGAGCGTTAGTAAACATTATTGTTAAAATCCCTTTTGTTCTACTAAGCAAACAGATCCTATTATTTTCATTACTGCACTCTACATTGGAACAGGGAAGCCCAGGCATATTTTGATAACATGGACCAGTCTTGTAGCCCTTGCGTAAGAAAACGATTTCCAAAAGGCCAAGGTATCAGAAAAGGTTCAGGAGCAGATAAAATAAAGCAGAATTAATTATTGTTTCTATGCATGCAAAATTACTTAAAAAAAAGAAAGAACGCCATACTTCTTTCTTGAATCTGAGCGTGAGCTGATTGCTCAACAGTCTGTTATTGCTACAGTACTGATTTATGTTCAACTGCTATTAGCCTCCCAGAACTGCCATCTTACAATTATTCTTGACACAATTCTCTCAGTCCAGTTTTGTGCATTGCTCCTTCAGTTGTGTTTTAGCTTCCATTTTTGGCTTATGTTAACAACAGGAGCTAAGTAAGTCATCAGGTACTGTAGGATAAGAAAGAAGAAGTGGACTGCATCTTTCGCAAACCATTGAATACTACTGTTTGGGCTGAATTTAGTATTTGCAACACAGTACTGTTTAAAAGGTTCTTGAATGCTTAAATGGTTCACATTTTTTAATGCGATTATCTTGGTCAAAAAAATACATATGCAAATGCATTGCTCATATGGTTTGTTTATTGGATTCATCTCAGGGAATAATAAATGTGTTCATAGCCAACTTTTCTGCAGTTGTATAATGCAATTTTTTCATACATCAGCGAAGTACACAAGACTGAAACGTCAAGTATACATTTAAGTGACGTGTAGAGGGGGAATAAGCAAGGCTGTGATTTATCAGGATTCCATGAGTTCGAAGGACTTTAGCTAAGTGGAGAATTAAATGAGAATATAATTCCAAATTTCAAATCTCCATAATCCATGACAGTCAAAGCACAGAAGTTATATTAAGTCCACCAAAAATATTGGAACTTTGATATTTCATATAAATGAATAAATATTTCTAATATTTATATTTTATTTATATTTGATATAATATTGGAAACATACTCAGGAAATATATATATTTGATAGGGATACTGATAGAGCTTTGTATTCATTAGCAACCTGCTCACAGAATCTTATATGCCTAGAATTCAAAGGATGACCCCCAATCGACTGTGACGTCAGCCTTTTTACCATATTTTGTATTTGCCAGGAGATGAAAAAGAGGAAGTCACTAATATAAGTAAATTCGTCTACATGATGCTTTATGTAAATACCTACACAGACACACAGCTAGGACAGCAGCTAGCCTAGATCCTGAAATAGGCTGCCGAATTGACAGGTACCAGGGCCCTCATGATCTACAAAATTGACAGAATCTACAAAATAACAGAGTTTGAGGAACAGTACACTTTGCAGCACATGGTTTCTATTTTCTAGAGATGCAAAATGTTCATTTAAACACAATTTTCATTCTCGGGAAGGTTCTGTAGAAGACACTTTAGAAATTAAAAAATGTACCATAAATCCATTTTTCTACATTTTGGATTTTTTTTTTCCTTAAAAATTTTTTTAAAAGTGTTTTGTCTCCCAAATTAAATTTGGCCACTTGTTTGATCAGAATCATAGCTAGGCTTTGTGCTACTTCCTGGAAGAAATGAAAGGGCTCCATGGTATTATATTTTTAAAAGGAGTGCCTGCAGAAACAAGATTAGAGGTTCCCAAAGATTCCACCATTTATGGAGCTCATTTCATGGATCTCCTGTTAGCAGGCCTATCTAATATCTGGCTGTAATTTGGACCCAGATGATGTAATTGTGACCCAGATGATAGAACAGAAAAGCTATTAAACAGTGGATGAAAATGATTTAGCTGCACTATGTTTTATATATATGGTAAGAAATTAATTTAAAAAAAAAAAAAAGGATGTTCACATTAAAAGTATACTTTGAATTACAGTTGGAATGTGTGTTGAATGAAAGTTGCAATGTCCATAAACTTCATGAATCCAAAAAGTTGTCAGAAAAGGTAAAACATCCCACCTCACGTTCTTCCTCCTGTTCTTTCCGAATTTGTTCCAAGCGAAACTGCTCTGCCATTTCTCTCTCTTGTGCTTCCCTCTAATAAACACAAACAGCAATCACACATTTATCACCTTGCTTTCCACAGCTGTGTTTAATGATGTGCATTAGCTCTATAAAAGCAAAGAAACTTCCCAACTTTTCTGTAGAAATCAATAAAAGAAATAGGATCTTTATTAAGTGGTCTTTTCCTGTCATTCCTTTCCCAACTTCTGTTATTAAGTGGGGCCAGGACTGCTTTAGCAAAAAGATGTAGTCAAGTCTACTCCTAGTGACTGTGTCTAGTGCCACTTTATAACCACTGAGGGCAACAACGGCTCCTACAGCAACCACCTTGTCTTAAGAGCAGAACTGAAGGCGGGCCGTCCTCTGCACCACAGATATTTCACCAACTGTGGAGAGATTCCCGTCCCGACATTCGTGCCATCGCTTCGCCCTGCACATACCTTCGCTCTGTCAGCCTCCAGTGATATGCGGTACGCTTCGTCCTGCTCTCTTTTCACATTTTCTCTGGCTTCACGTTCATCCTAAAGAAAAGAAAAAAGAAAAGAAAAGAAAAGAAAAAATATCAGCAAACAGTGGACCAATAGGATATATATCTTTACGTTCACCAGCGCTCTTTAACCCCAGTGACTTCAAAATATTGGATTGCCTTACTCATCTAACCACTGCTAGGAGAAATGAGTTCAGAAATGCCTCAAGGGCGACCTTGCCTTTAAAAATTACGACTTACCTAAAGCTACGTTTCAATTGCCATGTAATGGATGGGCACATCCAAGTCCTGGCCTGAAGGCTGGACCTGGCACCAAGGCTCTTTGCCCTGCCATCTTTATCGCAGCCTCCTCCCGCCCCAGCCACGTGGGGAGTGGGTCACTGGAGGGGTACGTGTGGGTAGGCCTGGGGAGGATTTCACTCCTGCAGCCGACCGTTTGGACGGTCTTGTAATAGGGAAGGACAGACTGTGGTTTAGAGGATGAGGCTGGACGTTAACTTGCTCTCCGCTCAGACTGACAGCGGGTGACACCTTGTCCTGCGAGGGAAGGCCCGCTCCCAGGTCCTTCCTTGGTAAAAAAGCCCTCAGCAGGATCCATCCAGGGCCATGACTATTAAACATCATCCAGAGGCCTCAGTTCACAGTGTTGAATATTATACAAAGATGGGAAAGTAGCAAGTCCTGCTCTCAAGCGTCTCAAATGGACGGATGCAGGCAGACAAGAAACATGAGGTTAGCATGCCAACTTCAAGCCAGCACACCTAGCAAAGTATCTTATTAATGATCACAGCACAAAGAAATAAAGGTTTACTAAAAATACACAAATGACAAAGCGAGGCATCATCCACACGGTGGAGGATCAAGAAGTGGATATCCCTGAAAGCTGGAATAACTGCACTGGGGTGATGTCTGATAAAGCAAAGTGTACAATCAATAGCTTCATACTCTGCCTCTGGAGCCAGAGACAGCGTCTGCTCCCCTGTGCTTACTCCTCTTACATCTTATAATCCTCCCAGAGCCCTGCAGAGGCTGCACTGGTCCCTACAAAAATCAATAAGATTTAGCTGTGAGACTGCTGGTGGGCTCAGCATGGCCACCTGTAGTTACCAGTAACACAGCACTTGCACTGGGGTAATCTGTCCCCTGTGTTTCATAGAAATTAAAGTCTGCTACCTACTGCTTCTTGAAGAATTATGTTCATTTCCCCATTCATCTGCAAGGTTTATTCCACATAAAGGAATCATTTTGCAAAGTGATCAATTTTCTCCCCAAAACTTCACTGTTTGGCAAAAACTCAATTCTAAATGGAAGGAGCACACGTTAACTGCTATTATCGTGTCATGCAAACGTGCCAAGACAGTCCTCAAACAAAACTCTAACATATTAGTGGTTAAAATGCTCTACAGTAGCATGCGACCACAAGAGGAAAGGAAAAATTGCAGGAAAAAGTATACAACCTCCAGTTGGAAAGTAACAAGATCTTTTTAGAGGAAACTCTTCTTCCTTATAGAAACAGGACCCGAGATTATTCTACAATCAGTGTGTCCTAAATTTCATTCACAGAAGATAGAGAAACCATCACTTTGTCCAGCAGAGCTAAGACATGAATAGAAGTAATTCTTGCAAAATGTAAAAAGGACAATAACCAGCAAATAACCCATTCTCCTTCCTGGCTTCCCTGGACCTTGATAAGCTTTATGTGCTATGCTCATGGAATATCTTCAAAAATTAACTCAAACCTGATAGCCGAAACTACCCTACATTAATATACCATTTCTGAGAAGAGGGGGTGTTGAAATAATTAAACAGCTCCAATTTTTATGTTATCTGAAAATGAGGAAAGGTTCTTGAATACACAGGGGTTTTCCCAACTCTTCTCATACATGGAATGGAACTGTAAAGGAAAAAGTTTTGTACTATCTACACTAAGACTTTCCATAAGCATACCATAAATTTATCTTAGAATGGTGAGAACCAAAACTGTCTTCCCAAATTAGCTTACTAAAGGAAGATGACTTCAGGTAATCTGCGAGAGGACAAGCATTTAAAAAATATTAAGAATTATTTCACAGAGAACCTATTTAACTTTCAAGTTTTGCAACTTCATCTGTCACACCTAACTTCACACACTAACTGCATTTCAAAGGTCACACAAGTCCAGTAATGCCCAAAAGAAAACTGAAAGATCAGATGCAACTATTGCAACTACAGGCTCTTCCCTGCATCAAAGATTGTTAGCAATTAATATATAGTTACTTTAGTTTACAAAAAAAACCCGCAAACACCAAAACAAAACCTACACAACAAAAAAACCCCACCCCACAAACCAAAAAAGCCACAAAAAATCCCAACTCAAACCAAAACCAACCCTCAAAAAGTAAAAATTAAAAATTAATAAAAATTGTTAAAACTCACTTAAAAATATATACTAATCAGAGTTATAAGAAATTGAGTACTGGCTTTTATTTTACATTTTACAAACTGTGTAGAAAACTCCAGGAAGTTATTAGAAGTTACTTGTGATGAGCACAGGATTCATTCACCTTCAGAGCGCTTCACTGAAGAATTTTTGAAATAGGTTTAAATTATATAATCTGAATGATAACTGCAAAAAATACTGATGCTATAGATTCTACAACTTGAATCTAAATATGAATTCCAGGCATTTAAAAAAAATAAATTATTTCCTCCCTATTCATTGCAGTTATCATCATCCTAAAAGTGGATTATGAAAAAGATGTCAGGAATGTGAAGAATTACTACGCATGACTGCCTGGTCCTCATAGAAATATGTGAGCCACATCTAAAAGTAAATGAGCGTGCCACTGAGCTTTACACCACATTGAAACAATACTGTTCTTACTGAAACAGACCTTAAAAACAAATCTGGAATCCAGATTTCTTTAGGTAAGAAGCAGATGTAATCCTATGAAATGTCTCTTTGTATCTACTTCTGTGTTTTGTTAATACTGCTCACACTCAAGAGGAACCACCTCCTCTACAGAGGTTATGGCAAAATTGTAATATTCTCTGGTTCAGAGTTACACCTTAGACAAATTTTAAACATTAGATAAAGCAGTTCTCCTTTTTGTAATGCAGTTTGTTATTTTAGTCATCTCTTCCTCTAGAGAAACCATGCAAAATATGAGGATGACTCAAGTCCACCAGAAAGCAACAAAAGAAAATTCATAATGGTGACAGCAAAAGCGGAAGAAAATATTTTGCAGAGAATCTTTCACTGCACTAGCAAAGAACACATGAAGAAAAATAGAATAGTCATACCACTAATAATTAATTAAAAAAATGTTGTCTTATCCATCAAGAAAACTTGAGGTAGCTGACAACTTTCCTGTTAAACCCTACATAAATTGCAGCATCGACTGAACATCGATAAATGCATCTCCACAATACTTTTGCAATGAAGGCAAAATTGCCATCTTCCTTTTTCAAGAAACCAAGGTTTGAACAGACAACAGTTTATCCCAGGTCACTTAAAAAGTCTTCATCAGAAATGAGGGTTACACGGCATTTGTGAATTCCACAGCAGCGACTGAAGGCTGGTGTGAATGTAAACTATCCCCATCCCAGGGGTTTTGGGCATGAGACGAGGAGACAACTCTCCTTTGCTCCTTAAAGGGAAAAAGTCACAGATCTCTGCTTTCCCATTTTGGCAATGCAACAATAGGAGGGACATTCATTCAGTGGAAAGTTGATACTTCAAAAAAAAAAATTGTATTTATCCACAGAATATATTCTTCAGCTGTGAATTTTCTTTGCTATCATGCAAATATTACAGATGCAAAGTCATAACAAAAATAATAAACACGTATATTCACGAGAGAGTTACAATGGACCAGATAAAATGTTCTCCTGAGTAACATCCAGAGCTACAAGACTAAGAAAAACTTACAGATAAGGTTAAGAAGAAATTTAGGATAACTCTCTCCAATAATTATTCCCCAAGCCATTTCTTGAAGTTACCCCTGAAGCACCTAACAGCAAGCATTTTCTGATGCAGGATGATGGAAAAGAGGGATTCCTGATCACATTTAGGACAGCAACGCCCCCTTTTCCTGCAGATTCTACAGGGAAAAAAATACACAATACATTTGGCTTTTTGGATGGGATATTTTGCTGGGAAAGTCAGCATTGGCCCTTCTGGCCTTTTTAAATTTATTGTTGTTGTTTCTGAAGGTAGGATTTAATGATTTAAACCCAGGAATCAGCTTTACACCTGATTTGTTTCAGGGAGTTGTATTACTTTATTCCCCATTGTCCTTTGGGTTAAGTTTTACTGTGAGGTAAAACCAGACGAGACAGAACTTTAGAAGATAACCATGAGCAGAAGACATTTCTCAGAGCATCAGTGAGTAAATGGCTGTTACAAGAAAGAAAAGAAAAAAAAAAAAAAAAAAAGAGTGTATTTACAAATGCTGAACGCTTATCTGAAAGACAGTTCATTTCACTGAACCACTCCTGAAATTAAAATCTGCAAGTGCTTAAGGCTATTCATGGGACCGTCAAAGAGAAACACCCCTTTGTCCAAACAAACCAGTGCAAGAAAGGCATTAATTTGACTCACTAAGATGACAGACTTGCACATTGTATAACTTAAACATACATGATGGGGAATATATGGAGGGAAAAAGCGCACATGTATGAGGCATATGAGAATGATGAAGATGAGGCAAATGAACATTTCTGGGGTGGCAAAACCACGGGTGGGGAGGCAGGACGGGGCAGAGCAATGGGGCAGAACAACACAGAACCACCCCGGGATCCTGCCTGTCTATATCGAAGGCTGAAAGCCCAGTTCCAGATACTGATTTGGGGGAATTATCTCAAGTGACAAGAAAAAAACCAAACCTGAAATCTTCAAGAAGCAGTCCTGCAGTGACTTTCCACGGGAAACGAGCCAGCCAGTCCTGCTACATCATCTACCCACCTGGGCTGTACAGCAGGGAAAGCTGCTCTTTATTAAGAGAAACTAAGCGAATATTCAGTGACAGGAGCCATCAACATGTATAGCTGAAA